ATTTTATATTTTCTTATCGTTTATTTTGGCCTATTTATCTGTATTTATGGTGGTGGTAACTCTAGTTTTGTGCTGTAACAACCAAATTTCTATCTATCTATCCATCTATCTATCCATCCATCCATCTATCTATCTACTTCATCATGAGCTCCATTAAAGACCAACCCAAGTGCTAACACTATATTTGTTGTCGCCATATTGTGCGTGCCGTTGTTGCGGCTCCTCCATTGTCCTGTTTGCGTCTTTAACAAATGGGATGTTAATGAGATACCAGAGGCTTCTGACTGCCCTCAACCCCGTTTTGCTTGTTTGCTCTTTGTGCACCGTTCCTCTTTTGTTGGCTGATCAGCTTCCCATTGGGTCGCCAGACAATATTCTTGGCATTTGTCGGCAAAATGAAAGAAGGATTAAGGGATGGCTACTGAACACTCCATGGCAAAGAAGTGGGCTGCTATTCTCCCATTCAAAAGCCCCCTCTCCCAGTTCAGCAGCTCCCCTTTATATATATGTTTGTTTTCTCAAAGACGCCATTGAGAAGTCCCCAAGTCCTACAAGAAATAAAGGGAAGTCAACAAGTAGGTCAGGCCCGACAAAAAACGCTGATAAATGTCGAGGAAGAAAATACAATCAAGGGCCTCCTCAGTTGTAATTAGGATCGTTGTAAGTGGGATGTAAAGCTTTGCAATTAAGGATTATTTCATTAGATCAGTGCATCAGATGCTTATTGATCTATAACATAAGGCCCGTTAATGTCTTCAGATGTCTGTTAGATGAACAAGAAGAGCAGCCATAAGTCACATCTGGAAATTAGACGATAAGGAATAAGAGCTGGTTGATCACTATTATTATTATTATTATTATTATTATTGTTATTATGATGCTGTAAGAGCTGAATAATAAATAGTTAATTATCTCCCAGCATGCATTTCTGTTTTCAAAATTAATAATTTAAAAAAAAGCTTTAAAAACATTTATTATGGACAAATTACTGACTGTGGCACCAAATATTAGTTTCACTGTTTTATGTGTAACTTTAAATTATTTTTGCCAAATTGCGACTGAAAATATTCTCGTTAAATCCTGTTATTCACATAATGTATTGTGTGTTTAAACAAGTAATGCAAATAATAAGTGTGATCTATGAAGGCTTCTCCACTGCCAGGCTGGTTTTCACATCTTACATTTTATGGAAAGTATTTTTAAAAAGTGTGGAAATGTGTAGAAAATGCAGAATGTGTTAAATGAAAGGTGTTTTGGTTGGAATGGAAATTAAAACCTGCAAATATTTATACATGAATTAGTTTATAAAAGCTCCATGGTCTGCTCTAATACTTATGCGGGTGTTCAGTTGTTTTTTTTTATAGAATATTTTATTTTTTTTATTGATCCCCCATTGAGGGAAATTTACGTTAATACAAAGTAAGTAACTAAAAACACCTGGCCGCCACGCTCACGGCGCCATCTTGGAAATAGTGGAATCTACGACCTAAATTAACGACACATAACCAAATTAAACACGTTCATGTTCCAGGCTTGTCATGAATGTGTTTTTTCCATCATTCTCCTTCCCTGTGTAAGTCCTCTGTTGCTCTGCTTTATGCTCGTGTTCCTCTGCGCTGCTACAGTGACCCAGTTTCCCCAAAGGGATCTAACGCCATCCTGCCAGTCTGGTAGAGCCTTTATTTTACTCAAGGAGAGAGACCTTAGTGGAGGAAGGTTGGCTGGACTATACCCGTGTGTCTGGTGTTCTGGCCGACAGGACATGGATCATATCTACTCTACATATGTGCACATTTGACCTCATTAGTCTCAAAGCGAGCCCTTCCTTTTCACTCTGATATTCCTGGAAGAGAAAGCGTTGGTGTTGGGGGGCACGCAGGCCCAGGCAAGAACCTCTCTCCTGCAGCAAACGGGCTTTAATTAATAGACAGGAAAGCCTGAAAGCAGCGCTGGCACCAGCTAATATGATGAACTCTCATTGTGGCGGCGTCACTGCAAATGTTTCTGATAAGCAAAAAGCAGCAGCGGCGGCGGATTAAAGCCTCTAAGTTCCTAACTTTGCTCCAGCGGCTTCCCTTCTTTCCTCACCTACTTTTTTTTTTTTCTTTCTCTGCTCTTCAAAGTGTGGAACACTGAGTGCCGTCCTCTGGTCCGACCCGGGTCAGCATCAGAGCGGTGGCAGGTTCACTACATATATACACAGACCTCATCATGTTGATGTATCTACCATATGTTTGTAGGGGAGCGTCCCCTTTATTTCATTTCTTATGGCTAAAGAAACCTAAAGCTCTGCATCATCAGGACCAGACCCGCTGACGTCACCTCGTCTACCTGATGACTTGTGTGTGACCAAACCCTAAACCTGCTGGATAAGAGATTCTGTGGCCCGACTACAAAGACTGTTTTATCATAAAAACATGATCAGTATAGATGACCAGGTAAATTAATAGTTGTTTTGATCAAAGCTTTAGCTGCTGAGCGTTTAGGGAGGCGTGACAATTTGTTTATCATCACCGGTGGTTCCTGATGATGAACTCTTCATGTTGTAGCTGCAAATTAGTGGCGGATTTACGGCAATATACATATTTTTTGTTATTAATATAGTATTTTGCATTACATCTAGATATTGCAAATAAAACTACAGAACATATTTTATCACAGATTAAGAATTTTTAGCCAAATGAACGTGTTAATGATGTGGTGCAGGTAGCAGCTTCAATTAACTCCTCTTCAAATTGTGGAGTCCCTGCACAATGCCTGTGTTTTTATTGTGGTTTAAAAATCTACTAAATCAACATTTTTATGCCTGCAGTTAAAGATATATATGAAATAGGTTCATTAAATGTATTTAAATCATTAGTTTGACTGTCAAACTGAGACAACTGCTCCTTTAGTTCAGCCAAAAGCTTAGATTGTAAAAAACAGTGTAGTTCAACACGACGACTATCAGGATAATTATTACTTCTGATACATTTCTGTTAATACACGTCTTCTGTGTGGCTTCCAGTCGCCTTGTTCTTTTAATATATCCCTTAAAAATGTGATTTTTTTTTTTCTTTCCTTTCGGTGCGAGGCAGTGAGGGAGACAGGGGAGGTTAATCCCAGTTTAATACACCGATGCACGGCCCAGGACCGAGGCTGTGATGATTGTGTTATCTCCAGCCAACATTTGGGTCTCCCTCAATTTCAACCCGGCAAAATAGCTGCGAGAAAGTGAGAGATGGGAGTGGAGTAAGTGCAGATGCCCGGGGAAAATTGTTATTAATAGCTGCAACTTCCCACCACAGCCTGTGCAAAGCTGCTTCTTGTCACCTCCACTGGATTTGTTTGAAGTGCTCTCTCCATTCTCACAGGCCAACCTTTTCTCTTTTTTTTTTTCTTTCGACTCAAAAAACTGATGCTGCTCCTTTTTTTTTTTTTCCTAGGTAGGTTATGCACATCTTTGGGAAACAACACATTGATTAAATGCTTATCAAATGTGGAGGCGTAATATATTAAAAAGCATTTTTTTCATTCTAGAAAAACAGAATTACAGGAATTTACAGAAATATGATGATTTCTGGAAATATTTTTCCAATTACTAGCAACGACCCTACCTGGAAATAACACAAATAAGTCTTGTTTTCTGTTTGTTTGCTGAAGACATGATGATTGATCTTATAAATGAAGAGCACACATGATCTCACACTGAACCTGAAACCACGAAGACACATTTTGTGACTCGTTCTAAATGAAGTCGGTTAATTTACACCCTGTCCTGCTGCATCACGTGGAAAACTCATCTGATATAAAAACAGTCACAGCACTTCTCTGTGTATTTGTCTCACACCTCTTCCTCTTCCTAAGACACTCACAATGTGCCACCAAAATAAAAAAAAAAAACAAATGAAATGTATATTTAAAAAAAACACACAATCTAAACAACGGGAGAGGAAACCTTTAAAATCTGTGGAATTTCTGCCACAGGCTTCACACCATGAAGTGAGCCACCGAGAGATGAAAGTGAAAAGAAATAAAGGGCTCAATTTAATCTGCTTTAAAGCCCTTCAACAGAATGCATGTGCCTGGAACTGTGAGAGTGAGGGCTGATAGGGGATAAATATATTTCTTACCATGCCTTCCAGCTATTACACCCCTCTCCAACACAGACGCCTATTCAACAGACACCGGTTTCATTACCAGCTGTAATAGGCTAAGTCTTCAAATTATTAAACGCCATTCCCGGATGACAGAAAAGACAGTCGGCTGATCTTTTAGAAGAAGAAGAAGAAGGAAAAAAAAAAAAAAACGACAAAAGGAGGACAGTTGATGCTCTTTGGAAGCAGAAGAAAAAATAAATTCACCAGTGGAACCAGTGGAACCAGTGGTCAGGAAAACTTGACTGAGTCAAACAACAACTGGAGGTTTTTTCACAGCTCAGCTCAGATTCAATCTGGAGAAACAAACCCAGCTTAAATAAAGTCAAATTTAATTTGTGCACCAGGAGGAGGAAGGTTTTTAAGCTTCAAAATAAGATTTTTAGGTGAACAGATGAATTGTTTCTGGATTAGATAATTATAAATGTTTTTTTTTTCTTTTCTTCTGGTGGCATTCAGATTTAGAAAATTACTAAATTCAAATATTATCAACTTAGATTCTTTTTTTTTGTTTGTTTTGTTTAGTCAATCCAAAAGCAGTGAGCTCTCCACGGCTTGTGTCGCCGACGTGACCGTAATTGATATCGACTGGCGCATCTCCGCCAGCATCGCTCTCCAGAGGAGCGTTTACGCAGCGCCACGGGGAGCCCGACGCACTCCAGCGCGCCCCATCATAAATAATTAAACGGCCCCTGTGTCTGCTGGGAGAACAGCTTCAAGGAGGTAAATCCACGGCGACAAAACGCCCATTTAGAGCCCAATTTGTAGACAATTCAGGGCTCACACAGCAGTCCCAAGCAGCAGCAGCAGCAGCAGCAGCAGCAGCGGCTCCGAGCGGGCCCGGCTGCGCGTCCTGCGGCCTACCTTTGTCGCCGAGGATGCCGTCGATGCTGTGCTTGGTCTTCTTCTCTCCGTCCTCGTCCTTCTTGTCGCACTCGTCCTCGTCGTCCTTTTTCCCAAATCGAGCTCGAAGCACGCGGCTGATGGAGCTCACTGCGATGAAGATGAAGGCAGCTTCAGCATCATCATCAAAATAACAATAATAATAACAACAATAATAATAATAATAATAATAATAATAATAATAGAATTCGTTTCCCTGCTTGTTAAAATCTTGACAATCATTTTCAATATTTTTTTCTGTTCATTTAATTTTTGGGGGGTAAAAAAATAAAAAATAAAAATAAAAAATAATTTTTGCGGAGAGCTTGAATGAAGTGCGGCTTACCAGAGGAGGCCTCACCTGAAGGGACTGTGCTTCTGTCACACACGCCGTCTTTCAGCAGCTTATCCCGGATCTCCCAGCTGAACATGCCGGGGTTGTCCCGCTTGTACTCCTCTATCCGCTTCTCCACGTCGGGCGTAGCGACCTGCTGCAGTGGGACAGAAACACGGAGCGTGGGCTCAGTGGGCCGCTGCAGGGCTCCATTCATTTACATCTATATTTACACATCTGTTTAAAGGCTGCACGCTGTCTCTGGACTCTCTGGCTGCACCAGGCCCGATTCATTTACTTTTCTTATTATCATTCTAATTATCTCTCTGGTGCTTTTCTCACCCTGGGTTTGCTGCCGCCGATGGCTCCGGGTCGGATGGAGCCCGTCTCCTGGTAGCGGCACAGGATCTTGGACACGCAGCCGTGGGAGACGCGCAGCTGCCTGGAGATGACGCACGGCCGGATCCCGTGGTGGGCCATCTCCACGATCTTGTGTCGGATGTGGTTGGGCAGCGGCCGGCCGTTGATGAAGACGCCCCCGAGCTGGTTGACCCGTCCCTGACCCAGAGGAGTGGACACTGTGGAGACACAAGCCCAGCTCAGCTCAGCACCAGAACACCGAGGCGGCGCCGCCGGACCGTCCGCTGCGCGCGGAGCAGGTCCGGGACGGAGGCCCCTGGAGCTCCATCAATTATTTAGTGAACTGTAGAAAACATGATTAACACTTCAAGATAAGTGTCTGGCCCCTTGTGTCCGGCTACATTATTCACCATCACGGCGTCTCTGTGGAATTAATCTCCTGCATTTAATTTGAATATCCAGAACCAATTTATTTCGGACACTGTCTAGGGTTTTTTTTTTTTTTTAAATGTCATTGGCTGATTACACGCACCTCTGCCTTACATTTATCAGAAGAAGCCCATTTTAGAGGCTGCTATTTATATGTATTTTTTGCAATGAATTTTGCATCCTGAAATAAAAACTTGCTGCCGCCGCCGCCGGGTCTCGGCCCTTCTGCTGCTGCTGGAAGGCCTCGGCTGCTGCTTTTTTAATTCCAAGCTCCTCCACAGTCCTGCTTAGCCTGACATATGTGAAGTTTCACAGCGAGCTTTAAAGTTTTCGGGCTCCTCTGTGCGGGTGTGAGAGGCCGAGCAGGCTGCAGGGAGCCGCCGCCTACCTTCCAGAGGGAATCCGGAGCGGGAATAGTTCTGTCCGGGAGCCGGGCGCATCATTCTCGGTACAGTTCCTGGCAACGACGACATTGTACCATTAAAAACGGCGACCAAAAAAATGTATATATATAAAAAGAAGTCCAAAAAAAAAAAAAAAAGCAGACAGCCTTTAGAGGTCCAGTTCTGGTGCTGCTGACTTGTTGGTCACACGTGAAGCTGGAGGACGTCCGGCAGGAAGGAGGAGATGTGGGTAGAAATCCTCCACAGCGGGCTGAGGAGGAACTCTGCGGCTGTTCGGCTCGACGGGGAGTCCTCACACTGCTGCTGTGTTCACGGTGCACAATTGATCTATCTGTGACAGGAGCTTATTTAACCGGTGTGAAGGCTGGACCGCTCTGACTGTCTCCGGGACCAGTGCGGACCGGGCGGGCTCCAGAAAGGAGGTGGAGGGTGGTGGGGGGGTGGACGGGTCGTGCGCACCGATAGGTTGGAGCTTTCTCTTATTCGAGAGGGAAAAGCTCCAACAAGTTTTTTTAGCAGCCAATGAGAACTAAGGGATCGTGATGAACACACACTCCTGGAGCGGCGGCGGCGGCGGTCCGCGCGCAGGCCCGAACAGCAGCCTGCGCACATCTGGGCGCGCATCAGCCAGGAGGGTCGGCCGTCACCTGTCAGGTGGAGGGCAGGTGTCATGGGGAGATTATCTGAAAATAACCAAGAAATATTACCTCACAAATGAGAAAGGGGCTGTTGTTGTTTTTTTGTGCACAATAAGAAAACATGCAATATAAATAAATGCGCTTTGTCCAAACCAGCAGCAGCTCTAACTCTGTGGCTCTTCAGTAATTTCCCAGACTGGGATAAATAAAGTATTTTTCTATTCTATTCTATTCTATTCTAACTCTGTGGCTCTTCCTCCTCCTGCTGCTCTCCATCAGCACCTGTCCTTGAAACCAGCTGCTGCTTTATTCTGGTGCGAAATTCAGACTTTTTTTTTCCAAGCATGGGATGAGAGCAGATCCAACATCGTGCCAAGAATTTTCTAAATGTTTAAATGTAAACTCCATTTACCTCCAGTGTGTTGGTGATATTTCAGAGTGAGATGCGTAAAACTGAACCGTCTAAACAGCAGCTTTCTACTCGGGAGAAGCCAGAAAATTCTCGTTTTATTTGTAGATTCTGGTCATTTTGGATGAAACAACGTGTTTGATGAATCTGAAGACAAACCTGAAACTCATCAAAGCACAAAATTACAACATCCCAAATACACAGCAGTGGCGCCAGGTTTAATCATCACCAGATGAGTTTAATTGATGGTTTGACGCTCCTGCTACACTGAAAACACTTAAAAGCTGTTTAATTAATATTCTTTTCAAAGGCTGACTGTCTGTTGCCTTATTTCTTTTTTTAAATTTAGATCAGTTCATGCTTAATAATACTACTGTAAATATTATTGCATTTCAGAAGCAAAACTGAGAACTCTGTAATAATGCGCTCCAAAAAAATAAAATAAAAAAAATGTAAAGGAAAAAAAAACGCGCTAAAAATGAAGCTGTGTGTGATGGTTCTGATTTCACTGTGGAAACGGTTCGCTGTTCGCTCGGAGGAAATCATTTAGGGTGAAACGGCAGCGTGCGATCACAATGACACGTCTGAAGATTGAAACAACCGCTGGTCACCTGCTGCGCTCCGTGCGTAAATTACGCACAGACGCTCTCCGGCTCCGGCAGGTCGTGTCGAGGAAAGATGAAGGCTTCATCGGTGCTTCGGCGTCTGAGAGCCGCTTTCACGACTTGGATGAGGGGTTCTGATTCTGTGGTGGTGAAGCATTAGGAGCTGAGAACCGGCCGGTTTGGGTATGAGAGGCGGAGCTCCGGAACCTTAAATGGACCGGTTCGCTAAAGAACAAGCAGAAAGAGTCACATCACTGCGTCTTTATGATTTTTAACAGTGAGATGAAGCTTCTAATGCTGCTGTAAGGCTCCTGCACTTTTAGTAAATAAATATACAGGAGCATCTGAACACATTAGAAAGTTCCGAAAACCTTGTTTTTTGTTTGTTTGCTTGTTTGGCCATTTATTCCTAACAGCTAAACTTCCATACATTCTGTATTCAATACATGTAAAGTGAAATATTTCAAGCCTTTTTTTGTTTTAGTTTTGATTACAGGTTACAGCCAATTAAAATCACAAAATCCACTATCTCAAATTATTAGAATATTTCCAAACATGAATCCATCATCTCTACACCTTAATCCTCACCAGGGTCATGGGGGGCTGGAGTCTATCCCAGCTGACTCAGGGTGAAGGCAGGTTCACCTGGACATAGGGATGTGACGGTACACAAAAATCACAGTTCGGTTCTCAGTTAAAGGGAAAAAATAGAAAAATAAATAAACCTGCTCATAATTAATCCAAAACATTTGTTTATTGTATTAAACCAAAAACCTGTTAGCAGCTCAGTAAATCTAATTAAATGTACAATGTATGGAAATGTAACAGGAATGCTGCAGCATGTGCTCAATATCAAATAAACTAAATAAATAAAAGTGCAGCATCAACAGTTCCAGCTTATTGGTCTGCTGTCAATAGAACTGAATTAATTTTCCAGCATAAAAAAGGAAGACAACCAAGTTCAGCGATAAATATTTAAAAAATAATACATATTTTTCAAATAAATGAAAGAATTAATATGCAGCCACATGTGAGCTTGTGTGTTGTTCATGAATGGAGTAAAACATGGCTCACTAGAAGAGACCTGTGAGGGCGCAGAGCTCCACCAAGCAGCTCGTTTCCACCAAGTCCTGCATTCATTTATCTACACTGTTAGATTCATGGATAATCAGAACATAGCTTTAGCATTTTAATTAACATTGACATGAATCAATAACAAGCTGAACGCTCGTTCTGTACTCTCAGATATTTTCTACATTTATTTCTGCAGTTACTTACTGGCTTTAAGCTTGTTAGCTACCGCTATGCTAGGTTAGCATAACAACAGCGATGCTATTGCTAACACAAACAGACAGGGAGTAGCTTAAGCTAGGTTAGCACAACGTTAGCAATGCAACGTAAATGAAAAGCACAACTACACAACGAAGGACGCGTCAGTCGTCCTGACTCATGGCAAATAGAGTTAAAGTGAACCAGGAGACATGCTGAGTCATGGTTAGTGTCACAACGTGGTTCTGAACTTATCTGTCAGCGGCTCCGTCCAGCCCAGTCCCGTGATGCTGCCTGGCTGTAGCTTCCTCATGTACTGCTGAGAACACAGCGGTGAGGCTGGATGGAGGCAGAGCTCCAGCAGTGTGTAGGTCTGACGTGGTGCCGGATGCACAGCTGAGGACCGCTTCACAACGTGGACATCCGGCTTCCATCTTGTCCACTTGTTTTTCTCCTTTTTTGGACTTCACCAGGAAACTGAAGTGATCCCAAACGGGTGGTTTTAATGACACCGGAGCGCGTTCCAGCTCTGGCTTGTTGTTGTTGTTGTTGTTAGCATTAGCCATCCCGTTAGCCAGCCATACAGACCGGGCTGATAATAATAATAAACTTTATTTATGTAGCACTTTTCAAAACAGGGTTACAAAGTGCTGCACAGATTCCAAGAGAAGTCACAATATTAAACAACATTAAAAGAAGTAAAAAGAAAAAAAAAACAGAAATAAATTAAAAATGGTGAAGGTGAAACACATAAAGCATAAAAGACAATAAAACCATATAAAAATATATAAGAAGAATGGAGCCGACAGGAGAATAACAGGTCCGTCACATCCTGAGGTCCACTGGAAACTCTTACCTGTTTGTAGCTCCGCAATACTGAGCAGCTGTGAGCCGGAGAAGGTCCATGTGGGCACCATGAGA